AAATCCACTGGGCTTTCAACATGAAGCCAGAAAATCGGGACTTTTTAAAAACGGCCTGGGACACGGGACAAATTGATTGTCCCGCTGAAATCGGGACGTCTGGTCACCTTAGTGTACTTACCTACTTTCTCTGAGTGGCTTCCAGTCACTGCGACTCCATGTGTTTCTTCTATCTGTCCATCCATCAATATATCAATATCAATCTATAAACTAAATAACACTCATCACGAAATCTCCAGAAGCCTACAAACTTGAAATTTGGCATGTATGTTCCTCTTGGCTAAGAAAGGATTTTTTAAAATGTCCATCAGATCATTAGTATTTCTTATACAGTAATTAACACGCTCTGATGCTAAGGAGTTCTACTCCCCCTCCCCACCTGAAAAGAACTCTGTTCCAACTGCCAAGTTGCATCAATAGTTACCTCAGACATTCCACTCTTTCACTCAGGAGCAGTCTGGGGCTTTTTATAGTACTAAATGTCATCAAGAAAATGTCTATGCCTTCCACCTGTGGAACTACTTCCAGACTGGAGTCAGGAGCGATATTCCCTTATGTGTTTTAATCACTGACCAGATTGAACCGGATTTCTCCTGCATTGCCCGATCGTATAGTTTTGTTGTGAAGCATGGGTATCAAGCTAGTGTGTGTGTGTGTGTGTGTGTATGAATGAGAGAGAGAGAGAGAGAGAACACAGGTGACAAAAACAAATACACATATCTCTCTGTGTGTCCATACATAGATGTGTATTCTGTATGTGTTTGTATATAGTACATTCAGAAAGTATTCAGATCCCCCCCCCCCGTTCACTTTTGTGAGTTTGGTTATGCTGCAGCCTGATTCTACAGTTGCTGAAATTCATTTCTCATTAATCTGCACTCAGTACCCCCATAATGACAAGGTGAAAATAGAAGTTTAGAAATGTCTGTAAATTTATTAAAAAGAAAACACCCTCAAATATCACATTGGCATAAGTATTCAGATCATTCACTAAGTACTTTGCTGAAGCATCTTTGGGGGCAATTACAGCTTTGGGTCTTTTGGGGTATGAGGCGACAAACTTTACCCACCCTGGATTGGGGGATTTTCTGCCATTCTTCCTTACAAATCCTTTCAAGCTCAGTCAGGTTGAATGGCGATTGTTGGAGGAAAACTATTTTCAGGTCCCTCCAGAGATGTTCATTAGGGTTCAAGTCAGGGCTCTGGCTGGGCCACTGTAGGACACTCAGAGTTGTTTCTAAGCCACTCCTGTGTTGTCTTGGCTGTGTGTTTAAAATCACTGTCATGTTGGTAAGTGAATCTTCAGTCTGAGATCCTGAGTACTGTGGAATAGGTTGTTATTGAGGATATCCGTCAAAATGCATTTGTGCAAGATATCTGACATTTAGGATCTGTTACTGGAAATTGTGTGTGTGTAAACATACATACACACCATAATTCCAGTTCCAGTAATTCCTAAATGTCAGATCTCTAGCAAAAATGTACTTTCACTATTCTTGTATCTGTTTGATGCATTTTTTACTTACACATTCATCATATATTCATATTCCTTTGCACAAAATGTTCATGTAATCCCTCCTCATTGTATCAGTCTTTGTTACAGGAACTCCTTTTGCAGGTATTTTATATTTGATACAATATTGTCAAGTATTGTCTCCAAATAGCTCTACAGGTTTTGATGTCTTGTGTGCTACAGGCAGAATCCCATTTCTGTAAGAAATGGAGGCTCATAAAATATACTATAACATGTCTACAACCCAACAAAAGAACACTCATTTCAGCTGATAAAAACCAAGTCTCAAAATTGGTAGGTATAATCTATTTATCACCACACATATTAGCAAATATGGTATCTTGGGGCCTGTTGAACTCAACTCCTGATTATTTCCTGATGACTTCATAGACAGTCCATGCAGTTTTGGGGGTGTAACAGTTTTTAAAAAATGTATCTTAGAACTCTGGCATAGCCTATGGCTCTCCATTTTAAAAAGAAGCTTCCCATCCTGGTAACATAGCCACTCAGAAGTAAATCCCAGTCTTGAAAATGTTTCGCTTTTCATCCAAGAAGCTCTGTCAGCTCTGACTGAACTGAACTGATCAGAACTGAAGAAGTTCTGTTCCACCTTCTTGGATAAGGAGCAAAACATAATTCAAGGAAAACCCCAAGAAAGTTCAGTTGTTGTTTTTAAAAAGTACCTTTGGGATAACCATGACCTGGATGATTGAGAATCTCCAGAGACACATAGGAATTATTATAAACCACAAGATGGTATTGTGATGTCCCTTTTGCATTTTGTACAATTTTACAAGTGATCAAACTCATCAGACCTGCAAAAATGTCTATTTATCAATGTCTCTCCACAACCACCAAACCACATAATCTGAAGTTAACTGAAGAAAATCTACTGAACTAGTAGTAGTCTCTGAATTTTTTAAAAAAACGACATCCTCCATGCTGAAGGATAAACCCTATTCTTTGATGTTAGAGTCATGCTATCTGGTGGACAGGACTGGAATCCATCTATCTAGAGCTATATGAATATTACAACTTAAACCTTGAAAAAAACAGTAATTGGACTTAACTTCTTTTTTAAAAAACAGCTGCCTAAAGTATATTTCATATGCTAAGTGGTATTTTTAAAAACATAAAAACTACTGATAATAACTTTTAAATGTAAAGTTTCTCACTTCTAAAGTGTGGTTTTACTCTGAAAAATGACTGGTTTTTCTTTGAAAAATGTCAAATGCTTCCTGTTTACACACTGTATAATTTTGTCTTAATTACAGTAAGGATCTTTTTTTATGTGTAAAAGAGTATGTGTTGCAAAATGAGTCTTTCTCATTTTGTTCAGAGATGGGAAGGGCTAGAAATGTGAATGGTATATATAACATTTAGCCATCCTTAAAAAAAAAAAGTTAATTAAACAAACCATACTTGCTTAGTTTATACAAAGTGTTAAATAGACAAGCTGCAATTAAATTAGAATATGTTAATCCTGAATGTATGAGCTCATTACAACAATTTTCAGCCAATTCCATTGTCTATGATTATCACTTATTTATTTTCTTTTCCAATAGTTATAGCCTGCCCCAATCCTGAAGACTTGACTGTGATACAAATTCAGAGCAATGACAATTATACAAAATTAAAAGGATATCATAAAAGTTCTAAATAATATTAAGGGCTGAATGCATGCTGGATTAAAATTGTGTTGATTTGCTTACAAAATTTAATTTTTTTATTATTGTTGTTGTTGTAGTAATAAAAGGAAACCAGGCCTCTAAAAAAACATGGTGACTGGATACCATCAAAGCTGACATCAACCAGAGTATAGAACAACTCAAAGAAGTAGTGCAAGATTGGAAGTTGTGGAGAGACCTGATCCAAAGAAACACCAAAAGTTGGATGGGTGAATGGATATCATCATTGTATTATTATTTATTTAAATTTATTTTCCACCCATCTCGCTATAAAACTGATAGCTAGGTCGATTCCTTCAAGGGAAAGGTACTCTATAATGTATAGGTCACGAATCATGAAAGAGACATCAAAACACGGTACTTTTGTGGCTAGACCTAACAGTCATCAATCTCCATGGAAGAGAATCTTATGCTGTTTGCTGTGCAATCACAGATATCAAGTTTAATTATTTTAAGTTTAAAAAGAATTCAAAATTTTACAACATCACAACATTTCTCTTACAAGTTATCATTCCTTTTTTTAAAAAAAATATAAATTTGTATTTAAAGTTTTAAAAAGATTAAAAACTAATACTAACCAAATAAAAAAAGAAAATAAATACAATAAGCTTCCAATTTTCTTTGCAGCAAATACAAGTATGATTCCAAAGTTATTCTGTAGTTACAACATAGGTCTTGGACCTTCTTCAAGCTAATCATACCCTGTATTCTAAAAACCAGGTTGATAACTGTTCAGTGGCAATGATGCCTGATAGTTGTGGTGCCTATTTAAGAATAAGTGAAGACATTTGCAATGAAGAAACATGACAAAAAGCAAGCCACCATATAGAAAACTTTAAATCTTTATTTTTTTTAGAGAACAAAATCTACAAAGATTAAAAACATAATATAATGCATAACTCCAAACTCCTGGATGCCATAGCAACATGCTACTATAATTAAGTCAAGAGTTCCAAGGATAGAATCTGAACACAAAAGAAAATGTTAAAAAAGGCATAAATTACATTGACTATTTTAAAAAAAATGCCTTTATAACTACCAAATAAGATAATTAATTCTCTAGGGAAGTCGTATTCTATCTGTCATGCTAAAGATTTTTGCATCTATATTTTTGTAGCTTGGAAACAGTTATGCAGTTATGCCATTTTATGCATCAGCATCCATCAACTATGTAGGATTGTCCTATGATGGATAATCTTGTGGACCAGAAAATGAAGCCTAGCATCTTCTGTTTGTTTCTCCTGTAATCAATGCTGTCTCTAAACATTGTGCCAGCCTATGTGCATGGGCAACTACTTCCCTACTTTTTCCTCCCATTTAAGGAGGATTTTTTTTTTTTGCCACAGCTAGCAGGGTAATTGTTAGATGGCAACTCCTTTGACTTAATGTTTTCAAAAGGATGTCAGACAGGAAACATAACCTGTTCATGTATACAGGTAGTCCTTAACTTACAACCACAATAGACACCAGAGTTTCCATTGCCAAGCCATGTGGTTTTTAAGTGAATCATGTCCTGATTTTATGACCTTTTGGCCACAGTTAACTGAATCACTGCAGTTGTTAAGTGAATCATGTGGCTGCTAAGCAAATCCAGCTTCCCTCATAGGCTTCATTTGTAAGAAGCTGCTGGGAAAGTCACAGATGGTGATCTCATGACCATCAGACACTGCAACCCTCCTAAATATATGTTGGCTGCCAAGTGCTGAAATTTTGATCATGTGACAGGGGATGGTGCAATGGGTGTAAGAGCCAGGACTGGTTGCCACTTTGAGCTGTCATTAATGGTTATAGTCAAGGGCTACCAGTAGAAGACTGAAATATACGGCGAAATATTTTAGTCTACATTCTGCAACAAAGAGGCCATCCAGTCATGAGTCCTATATCTAATCTCTCCAAGCGCTTAATCATTTCTCTTTACCAGGAGGGTTGAATAGAGAGATTAAATGACAAGAGAAAGAGTGGATTGTGGTAGGTCTTTGTGCAATTATTTGTGTATGCTATATTTTATATTAGAAACCAGAGGTGCTATGCTGGGTGAACCGGTAGTGGTGGCGGTGCGAGGCTCCGCCCGTCCGTGTAAGTGCAGAAGGTTCGCGCATGCTCCCGCTACCGAACCAGTAGTGAAGAAAATAGAATACCCTTACTGTTAGAAATCAATCACTGTTGGGTATACCACATTGAATAATTTTGGATGGGTCATATTCAGACCGAAATGGGGCTGTTCTCTTTGGTGTATGGACTAACATGTTCACGTTAGGGAAGGTTGCAGTTCAGAAAGTTTTATTGTTGTACTGTTTGGGGACATTGGCAGACAGAGTGGAGGAAAGTTTGATTCTGGAAATTTTGAGATGGATGGGCGAGTGAGATGACGCTGAAGACCACAGTCGAGAACTTGCTTAATGCACAAACTCTTGACATGATATGGCTTGATTGCAAACAAGAATGAATCTATACAGTATATGCCCAAAGACTCTGCCCACTGCAGTACGCAAAAATGAAAGATCTCTGTTTTTAAAATCTAGGTCCCCATTGCAAGTCTAGGTAATTTTGGTTGTTTTTTTCTCCCCACAACACTCAGATTTGGAAGCGTTTGTTCAGTGGGGTCACAAGGGTTCTTTCTATGCTGGTTTTTGCCAGCTTCATTTACAATCTGCTGTGCTGGGAGTTGTTGAGGGGAAAGAGGAGTTGACACATGCCAGCCTTATTTTACTCTCCACATAAAAGTATTCTGGGATTCCTTTTGTTTGAGATTAAACCAGAGATGGTATTCTGCTGGTTAGTGCCCGTTTGGCCAAACCTGTTGTGGCAGTGGCACGAGGCTCCACCCACCCATTCATACATCATCAAGGATCTTCTGCACATGCACAGAAGGTTCTGTGCATGCCCAGACGAGCTGCGTGCGAGCAAAGAGAATGCATGGGCATGCGGGTGCGCTCCCGCTACCGAATCGGTCGTGAAGATAAGAGGATTAAACCCTATAACAACAAAAACTGTTCTGAGTTATGTTTTTGCTGAAACAAGGCCCACCTAGAATGGTTGACAATAGGTTTGTAGAATAGGTTTGGTTACTTTCAGTCCCTAAATCCTGCAGCCTTTCTGTTCTTAGGAAATGTGCCTCTGCTAACCAATTGAAAAAAATGTAGAAATCTTGTCCAACTGAAAATGAGAAACCAGAGAAGTATGTTGCCAATAACACTAATTTTACCCTAACTGTTAATAACAGTTATTAAAATAGATCAAAAGCAAGAAACTTACAAGTAAATCAGACTGTTAAATGGTAAGAAAACAAAAATAGGAGGAAAATGAGGTTGAAGAGAATCTTGGGTTAATTTTTTTCTTTGCAGAAATTGTTGGGTCAGAATTTCTATTTTTAAGAAGTGAGTGAGAAAACGAGGAAAAGTAGTGATGAGAAGCAAAATTCTCACTCTTATTTACAAACTGAAAACAAATCACAGGAATGTATCATTAAGAATTCAAAAGCGATATTCTTAATATCCTCACTAAAAGTTTATTCTAGATTTGACGTTTACATACAAGTCTAAGGAATGGTACATACTAATGGCACTCTTAAAGGGAATTAAGATTCTACTGGCTGTTATTTCTTTTAGAAAAATAGGCAGAAAGCATGTAAAATATAATGTGTGTGAGGAAGAGAGAGAGAGAGAAAAAAAGAAAAGAGATTTTGTGGAAGAAAATAAATAATATGCACAAAGCACTTCTGTGCTACAACTATTTTCAATTCCAAGTCCCTCAGAAATAATTTTGAATCCAGCCTTCATTTTCATTTCTACTGACTTTAGAATGTAGAGAATGCATCAATGCACTACAACCGAATTAGTGCCTTTCCCTTTAGCTTGCTAAGAGTATTAAGAGAGTGCAAAGGATATCATCACGACCATCCCATTTCTCAGTTGTCTGATTGCAGAATGACAAATAACCTTTGAGATTCAGTTTCGCATAAAAAATACAGTATCTCCCATCTGTGTTTTCTAATACATATATTCATCTCCATTTTGTGGAGATTTGCTTTTGTGGGCAGCTATATGAAGGAATGTCGATTATTAAAAACATAAACAAAAGCACCGAACTTTTTGCAGAGTTTCCCATATGTGTTTTACTGGCATTTCTCTATTACATTTTAAAAACATATGTGGGGTGTCATGCTGGCAATTTTGAGGTTGGGTGCTTTCCCCAGTAGCTGTGGGGCTTGGAGAGTCAAGGGAAAAAAAGTTCTAAAATATATTTTAAACATAAAGCAAGAGACCAGCTCCAGGAACAGGATGCTGAACTTCTTCAGGAATAGGGTAGACCAGGGATGTCAAATCTGTGGTATCACGTTGTCGTCACATGACGTATCATGACTCCCCCCCTTTTACTAAAATAGGTGTGGCCAGCGTTTGACGCATCTGGCCCGCGGGCTGCAAGTTTGACACCTCTGGGGTAGAGGAATAAGTTATGACTGGCTTGAATTCAGGAGACGGATGCAAAAAGAGAATCATTGTTAGGTTTTTAGTGATGTGGAAATTTGAAGAATACTGTATTACTTGGTCGATAATCTCAAGAAAAACAGCAGAATCAGAAATACCTTGACTCATTTTCCCCAACTAGATGATGGTGTGAAACCAGCTAGGTCTGGAGCTGGTCCTGAAGTGGTACAAATCCCTTGTGTGAAAGTGTCCTAGAACTATACAATTCCCTTAGCGGTGGAGGAAGAAGGACATAACTATTTATTTATTAGAATTATATACATACAGTATATACTAATACAACTTACCAAGTAAGATTGAGAAAGAGAATTTGTGGTTCTTAAGAGAAAGGTGAAGTATAACAGAAATCCTCCTACAGATAAACCCTTTTCAAATCCATTCTTAAAACCATCCCAAATCTAAAAAAACAAACAACTTTAAGCCTCGCGTCCGAAATTTAGCTATACCGAATTTCACAGGCACAACTGCAGGATATTGGTTGCCCATTTCTGAGTTATAGGAAGGCAGATTCTGCCTGAATATTACAAAAAAGTTCAATAGCAGGTTGAATTAGCCCAGCTGCTACCAATTCTATGGTTTTGTAGTACGATGACTAGATAAAAATAACATAGAACTTATGAAGGACAGGTATCACGTCTGTGGGCACATTGGAATATTTCCAAAGCCCATTGTATGAATATGAGGAGGAGTATTGTACGTGCAAATTGCTGATTTAATCTGTAGCATGCTAAATAGAATATTTTGGATTGCGTTGGGGGATTTGCAAGAGAAAGCTGTCAAGTTATCCCACACCCAACATTGATTTAATAACATCCCGATTTGAAGATTTGGCTGATGGTTGCAAATCAAGAACATATTTGTGTAATGTTATCATGCTTCTGTGATAAAACCTGCTTCACAGTCCAGAAACTGGCAGGATAGCTTAACCAAATCTTTTGTACATACACATAAATCCGAACTCTGAATAATAACTTTCTCTCTTATATCCACCAATCAGAAAAGGTGAAGACTGTGCCAAGATGAGGCCTGGAGCTAATCATTGTCATATGAATCTACGAAAGAGGGAAAAATGAAAAACAAATAAGTTTTGGATAAAATCTTCCTATCCTTACAATTAAAAACAAACCTATAGAAAAATATTTCAGTTGCCTTCATTCTTAATCATTAGGATTCCATTTTACTTATATTGTATATCTTACCATCTGCAATATCATCATATATTTCTTCATCACTGTAAATTTAGAAAGAGAAAATATGAATTTAGTTACTTTACATACATTAGGAATTGAGAAGAAGCATTACATACTTTTTACTAATACCCTCCTCTCAAATATAAACATTTTAAAACTATTCTTTGACCATTCTGAGAGACAGATAAAGATTTACTATGAAATTATTGCACTTACTCATGCACTAGACAGCTTCTTTGGACATAGCCATCTGAAAAATTAAATCATATATTCATCGTTATTTTCGAACTGACATCTCAGCTAAGAGAATCCAGACAAAAGAAAATTCTAATATTAAAATGCTATTTGTTATCTTTGAGTTCCATCTAGACCATATGAGACATATTGTCATTTTGGTGCAATGAAGAATATGCTGTATGATGACAAGTGGTCCATCTATATGAGAAAAACCCGCCAATTCCACCCACTATAGAACATTATTTTCTCTATTTTACAGTCATGCATAGAAATCAGACAAAAGGCTTTTTCTCACAACCCTTGCTCTATTTTTGAACTGGATTGAAACCAAACTCAGTGATGATCCGCTAAAATCACAGACAAGATGCTCTTTACCAAATATGCTTCAATTCCACCAGTGCTTCCATTGCCCAACTCCACAAAAGCAGTTTGAAGGTAACCCATAGACATTCATGTTTACCAATCTCAGAACTCTTGAGAAAGAGTCAAAATCACTGCCTCATAAGTGGATGATCCTTACAGATCCTTCAACAAAACACACAACTTCCTTATTCTTCCCTTGGCTAGTTATCTGCATAGTGGTCCCTAGGTTTGAGAATTAAGCACATGGCAACTCCCCCCGGCCCGAAGACCTGCCAGGAAACTTCTTAATCAAGAGATGAAACCATAACTGTGACAGGCCTGGAAGCCATCTTTTGCATTAGGCCTTCAGGCCTGACACATTTATTGCTGTGGGAAACTGGGAAGGGGGATTTTATGGAGTGGGGTAGATATAGTCAAAATAACATTCCTTTCTCTCTGAGTCAAGGACGTCTTGCCCTGCACCCGGAGTGGTCTGACTGGGAGGCATCTCCAGTTTTGGATGGTGTCTGATTGGACCATGTAATGGACATGTGGGTGTTAGGCCGGGACTTGAACTTTGGTTTCAGTGGGGAAAACCTGGAAATTTTCAGATTCGGGTTTTTCCAGATGTGCCAATATGACATCTCTAATAAAATGGAACTTTGAGGAATCTCAAGCTTCTGAGTCTTCTTTTGTTGGGGGTGTTACTTGGAAGCCTGACAAACTGCCTGTTAGGGTATGTTGAAATGACTTTGAGCAACGGGAATAAGAGCCGCAATCCAGACAACCATCATGCAAAAAGTATCTAAGCCCACAGAAGGAAAAGGGGTGTGGGAAGTGTTTCAGAAGGAGTCCTCCCTAGTTTTCTGGAGAATAAAAGTATAGGAGGGGATGAATGTTTAGGGCTGATAATGTCAAACTGAGCCAACATAATGAAATCATATTTCTAACATTTCCACTAGAGCTTCAAACTGTTTTTTGGTCTAGATGGGCATGAATTTTTGTCTCTTCCCATTTTCCAAAACCTGTACTTTGTCCCCCTGCCACTTCAATGACCAAAGCCAAGATATAGCAATAGCAGTAGCAGTTAGACTTATATACCGCTTCATAGGGCTTTCAGCCCTCTCTAAGCGGTTTACAGAGTCAGCATATTGCTCCCAACAATCCGGATCTTCATTTTACCCACCTCGGAAGGATGGAAGGCTGAGTCAACCTTGAGCCAGTGAGATTTGAACTGCTGAACTGCAACTAGCAGTCAGCTGAAGTGGCTGCAATACTGCACTCTAACCACTGTGCCACCTCGGCTCTTCTCATTATACATATCATACAGGTAATCCTTGAGTTGCAACTGGTTGCGTAATGGCCGAAGCTATTCTACCCCCCACAGCTACTTACAACCTATTTTTGAAGTTACGATAGCTGCGCACATGCCTGGAGTCATGTGATCACATTTATAATAGTTTGCATTATCCCATCTCATGTGACTGTGATTTGCAACATTTTCTCCTGGTTTCCGACATTTACTTCCGTTTTCTGGGGAAAAAAATATCCATTGGAGAAAATTGATTACACCTAACGACTGTCACAAAATACTATGAAAAATTGGGTTCAGTTATGTGATGCCTCAATGTATGACTGTAGCAACTTATGACCATAAGGACTGAATTCCCAGGCTGAATTATGGTCGTAAGTTGAGGACTACATATAATGCCTTTCTGCCGTTCTTCTTGAAGCTGAAAAAAAGACAGCTTGACTGAGCATGTGATAAAAACCAGGATAAAATCCAGGATTTTTACTTCTCATGATGAAAGCCTTATAACTAGGAAAGAAAGACTGGGAGCATTGACTGTCCCCTCCCCACCTTTTCCTGTCCCTTTCTTCATCCTTTTGGATGTAAATTGTAAATTATATACAGCAATTTACTTCCCTCTGCAGGATTTCTGCCACCATGTATTTTCCATGAGGTTGCCTTGGACCAAAAAGATGAAGAAAATACATGGTGGCAGAAATCCTGCAGAGGGAAGTAAATTGCTGTATATTGCACATGTATATTGCAGAATATATATGCTTATTAATCATCTGCACATATACCTGCCTTCTGATAAGATTGCATCATGAAGCTAGAATTCTGTCCCTTTGCCAACATTATAGTACAAACAACATCAGAATTTTGTTTTGTGTGCTTTAGAAAAATCTTGGGAACACCCTATTTTCTCTAAAACATTCAAACTGGCTTTAAAGAAATCTCTATTGGGTTTATTTATTATCCAGATCACTTCTGAACTTTAGAATCAGTCACCAATATTAAAGGAGCAGGCAGTCAGGAAATATATCGCAGATTAGCACTTGATAGAATAGCCATGAAGACCTAGGAAAAGATATTCAAAAGTTAGAACCATGCAAGCTATGATGTTGTCTATGAAACTCTATGGAAGTGAAAGATTCGAAGAAGTAGGAGAGAAAGAGTTTTGATGAGAAGGTACCTAAAAGTCCCATGGACAGCCAAGGTTACAAAGAAATGGATTCTCAAACAAATCAACCTACTCAAAGATGCAAATGACCTGGCTCAAATTATCATACTTTGAGCCACAGTGGCACAGTGGTTAGAACACAGTACTGCAGGCTACTTCTGCTTCCTGCTCGCTGCCTGCAATTTGGCAGTTCGAATCTCACCAGGCTCAAGGTTGACTCAGCCTTCCATCCTTCCGAGGTGGGTAAAATGAGGACCCGGATTGTTGGGGGCAATAGGCTGCCTCTGTAAACTACTTAGAGAGGGCTGTAAAGCACTGTGAAGTGGTATATAGCGTATTTTTCAGACTATAAAATGCATCAGTGTATAAGACACACCAAGATTTCAAAGAGGTAAGTAAGAAAAAATGTTTTTGTCCTCCCTAGCCCCCGGGAGCACTCTGCAGGCTTCAGCAGGGCTGGGGGAAGGCAAAAACACGTCAGTTTTTGCGAAAAACAGCCCAATTTTTTGCAAAAAAAATGGAATGCTGGGGACGTTTTGGGAGGCCAAAAATGGCTGTATTTGGTGTATAAGATGCACCAACACTTCCATGCTCTTTTAGGGGGGAAAGGTGCGTCTTATACTCTGAAAAATAAGTCTAAATGCTATTGCTATTAAGATAGGGAGGAGAAATATCAAATATAAGAAGCATCAAGTATCATTTAGGTCCATTTAGCTGCTATGCAGGGCTCCTAGTGGATAAATATAACATTATTCAAAAGTCTAGTGTCTGAAGAAGGCTTAAGTGCTTGGAAAGCTGGGAGGAAAGAGAAGGAGAGCAGCAACAGCAGAAAGGTGGATGGACTCAATTAAGTAGTGATGAGTGCATCATTGGAAATGCTGAAGGAACAGGTTACGGGAGATATATGGAGAAAAGCTATCTGTGTGGTCACTAAGCGTCAAAACAACTCGATGGCACATAATTAACCAATTAATTGTGCTTATTTGATATAGCCTTGGAGGGTGAGTTTCTCATACGAAGAAAAACCCAAACTTCCTGTCCTCCCAGTTAGATTTAAAAACTGCAAGGCAGACATTCCAAGTTTGATAAAACACCTCCCTCCTTGGCCTTTGAAATTGGAGTTCCTGTCATTCATTTTAAGGCAGAACGACTTCCCCTTAAGTGAAGGATTGCAAATTCACCGTGACTCCCATGGGGAAATGAGCTCATATCTGGGGTATTCTAATCTCCTTTTCTCTCTCATTTAAAAATAATCCTTGCCATAAACAAAACCTTTAGAGAAAAATCATCAATTTTCGACCTGGAAAAAGACACTGGGAAAGAGTGGAGAGGAGAAGGGAAGGGAGAAGGGAAAAGATAAGGGGGAAAGTTGAGGGGCAAACTATTTCAAAGAGAAGATATGGTATTAATATTGTTTCAATAAATATGTAACCAATTTGTGACATTTCATAAGTTATGGTATGTTTGAGCCATTGAAAATGGAGTTGAGTCTTCTAATGGTTTTCAGCTGAACTAAACAATCGCCTTCTTCTGTTTATTCCATTTTGCAACTACAAATCTACTTCCTCAAATAATAATTTCAAATGGTAATTTATTTATTGTATTTTGATGTAGAAAACATACAGTATGTATTGTATATTTGCTGGACTTGGTTAATATGCCAAAAAACTTGAAATTGTTATCCTCTCTATATATAACTACTATCTCCAGAAATAATTTTGTCCCTGACCATCTTCTCACTATTACATGTTTTTTTCTTCTTTTCCCTACTGTCAAAAACTATACATACAAAATGTTTCTCTGCCAAGCCATATATCCAACAAAATTGACTGTAATACACAGACATCTAAGTGATAATAAAATCAAATGGATTAGACTTTGTGTCAGGGTTCCAAATAACATCTAAAAGTAAATCAGAATCCAAGGCAAAGAATTCCTCAAAGTTCCAATTTATTAAGACAGCCATGTTGGCACATCTGGGGAAACCCGATTCTGAAAGCTTCCTGGTTTCCCCCAAAGTTCAAGATCCTGCCTTTACACCCACAAGTCCATCACATGGTCCAATCTTCCACTGCCATGCTGGCAGTTCCACCCATCCAATTAAAGTCAGGTGCAGAGGTGTAAAGACAAAGGATGACCTTGGCTTTCTAGAAAGATTTTTGTTATGGCTACATAGTATCTAACTCCAATTCAATCCCCC